TTGGTGTCTGTAGATTTTAAGATTTTCTACTGTATACCATCTTTGCAAATAATTTTTTTCTTTTTAACCTTTAGACAGTTTTTTTATTCTTTTATTGCACTAGTTAGGCCCTCAGTAAAATATAATGGAAATAATAACTCATTTCTGTCTTATTCCCAATCGAAAAAGCCTTTAATATTTGACCACTGAGTATGATGTTTGTAGTAGTGTTCTGTTATTTTTGTAAATATTTTTTTTCTTTTAGATATAAAGCTTCCCTTCTCTTCAGTTTAAAGCATCATCATGAATGGGTGTTGAATTTTCCTCTACCATCGTTAACATGATGTGATTTCTCTCCTTGATGCTCTTATTTTCTTTTTACTCTAAGTTCTATACTGATGTTCTTTTAAAAAACATTTTATTTCCATTAGAAATCTGTGCCCTCTTTTAATCACTATTACTAGAAGGTCATTAATTTTATTTGTACATTTGTTATCCCTTGTGTGTCTAGTCATGATTATTTCCTTCTACTCTGAAGGTATAATTAGGGTTTTTTCCTAACTTTTTATTTTTTAATGTATGTGGTTAAGCTATCAATTTCCCTTTAAATATGACTTTACAATGCTGTTTTATCAATTGAAAATATTTGCTAATAGTTATTTTGACTTATGAATTATTTAGAAATACAGTGTTATGCATTTTCTGAATTTGGGGAGTTTCTTGTTGTTTGTTAACTGATTTTTGGCTTGATTCCACGGAAGTTAGAGAACAGTCTCTGAAGGATTTCAGTCCTTTGAAATTTGTGGTGGCTTATTTTATGATCTAATGGCCAGTGTTGGTAAAACAGCACATGTGCTCTTGTCAGGAATGTGTTCTGTAGTGTGTATAGTATCAGTGGTCCAGTTTGTGGTGTTTTTATACATTTGATTTTTTTTTCTGCTTGTTCTGTTATTAAGAGGGTATATGTTTCACTTTCTTATTACTACTGAGGCAGGACATCTTTTTATATCTTTATAGGACATTTTTCTTTTGTGAATTGCAAGTTCATATTGCTTGGCCTATTTTTCTGCTGAGTTGTTTGCCTCTCAGATCCACTGAAGCTCTACTTGATATGAATGTTAATTATACACACACACACACACACAATACGTAGTATATGTGAAACTAATTTGACAATTTCTCCATGCCTTACCTTGATTTACAAATTCTTTATTTTCGTATGGCAGTCTTCCTTTAGAGCTTCTGGGTTTTATGTTGACATGCCTTGTTTTTATATTTGGATCTTTATTCCCATTAGAATTTTTTTCTGCAGGGTTTTAGGTAGGGATGGAACCTGAGTGTGAAAATTCAAATTAGACAAATTTACATGATTAAGTACTTGTCATCAGAAAAGTTTCTCTCAAATGTCATGTTCCTGCTATCAGACTGAATTATGATGTACTTTGCTTGCTGGTTTTTTTTAGTATTTTACTTGAAATGTTTATGATATGGCTCTTCCTAATATATATGCAAAACTTCTTATGCACAATTTTAGAGATGAAGAAGGAACAGAGCATTTACGAAAACGAAATATGCAGTTGCCTTTTTTGTTTACCACTGGAGAAGCCGTTTTATATGAGATAAGTAACCCTTTTCCTCCCATGATGGATCCACTACCAATAAGGACTAAACATGGTGCTAGTGGAAAAGAATCTGCTACCCAGTCAACTCTAAGTAAGGATTCCCTCAATCCCAGCTCCCTGCTGAATGCCATGATGCAACAAGACGAGTCTATTTATCTCTGTCCTGCTTCAAGTAGTACATCTTTCAAAAGAAATTTTTTCAATCAATCTCTGAATGAATGCAGTAACTGGCAAAACAGTGTTGCACCAGTAGGGAGTGATAATCTCCTGAAACATGAGCCAGTTGGTCAGTCTCAGGAAATGAACCTGAGCCTCTCTGGAGATCATGCAGGGCTCTTTCCAGATAACAGAAATAGTGACTTATACAGCATTATGCAACGCCTAGGCATTGATTTTGAAGATATCAAACACATGCAAGAGAATGAGGAGTTTTTCCAAACTGACTTTTCGGAGGAAAATGACTTCGGAGATATTGACTTAACAGATGAAATTCTGACCTACGTAGAAGATTCTTTAAATAAGCCTACCTTCAGGTGCTCAAGTTTCCATCAGCCCCAATCCGTGGCTCTGAACGCAAGCTGCATGGTACAGGAGCAGCTGCAGCTGGAACAGCAGCTCCAGCGCCAGCGGAAGCTCACAGCGGTGGAGCCACAGCAGCTGTGTCAGAAGATGAAGCACATGCAAGTTAACGGCATGTTTGCAAATTGGAACTCTGACCAGTCTGTGCCTTTTACTTGTCCTCAACAGGACCTGCAGCAGTATATCTTTTCAGACTTACCTGGGACCAGTCAAGACTTTCCCTATAAATCTGAGATGGATACTATACCTTATACACAGAACTTCATTCCCTGTAACCAGTCTGTATTGCCACCACATTCCAAAGGCACACAGTTAGACTTTCCCATGGGGAATTTTGAACCAACCCCGTACCCTACTGCTACTTCTAATTTAGAAGATTTTGTCACATGTTTACAAGTTCCAGAAAACCAAAAGCATGGACTAAATCCCCAGTCAGCCGTACTGACTCCTCAGACATGTTACGCCGGGGCTGTGTCCATGTACCAGTGCCAGCCGGAGCCTCAGCACAGCCACGTGGCCCCCATGCAGTACGACCCCTCGCTGCCAGGCCCAGAGGCATTTTTAAACAAGGTAAGGGTTTTAGCAAATCACATAAACCCTTTCATTGATTCTCTGTACATTATAAATATATTAAAAATTTTTTTATGCCAGTGACTGATTTTAATCTATTATCAGCATTCATATGAGAGCGTTTTTTAATTATATCTGTGCCTAGTTTTTTATTGGCCAGGACTTTTCCAGCATGTTACTAATACAAGTATCATACCTACCTGAAACACAAAGGAGGGAGAAATCAAGGACTAAAGCAACATGAATATGTCTTTGTCTTTAAGTTACCAGGTGAAATCAGTTAAAAATCTAGAATAATATTTTCTTGATTCTTAAAAATTATATAGCTTTTAAAAATTCAGGATTCAAAAGATTTGAAGTTTTAAAAGTAACTTCTTCAAACCTCCATTTTTGACATTTAATTGATTTACAATTAGTTTCAGGTATACAACAAAAATTCAATATTTTTATATTTCTGTTGAAATCGAGTTAAAGTCAGTATAGATGTACTTTCTTCAGATGCCTTAGTCCTAGCTCATCTCTGGAATTCAGTCCTGGCTTCTCCTCTGGCAACCCCTCCTTGTGATCTGCCAGATCCTTGTTTTAGCCTTTAAGGTAAAATGGGGTTTTTTCCTGACATTCTTAAAAATGGCGTAATTCAGCTGGGTTTCCATCATGGGACTCAACCTTGAGGTTATATCTTTCCTAATATTTCAATCTATCATCCAGACTCGTCTAGCATCAAGTCAACTTAAAAGTGCTTGCTGAGGAGAGCTGGCTCTCTCTGGCCATGTAACAGTATATATCATTTTTGCATCTACACTTTTCCATTAGAAAATACTTAGTTCATTTTAAAGTATGTGTAAGTTTAGTTTTGAAGCAAATTCTGATTGAAAGTTTAGGTCTTTGTTGACTGTGTATAATAGTGAAAAGATTCAAGTTAATATTTTGTAAACTGTTCCTTCTGGCCTTTTCCAGACATTCGGTTTGTCTAACTGTATATGAGCTCTTTAATAGAAACTGGCTGTGAAAGTTTTTCTTACCCTCATTCCTGATAGTCTTCAGTTACATTAAAATTTAATATCCAGCCACTGTCTGTCTCCCAGCATGGCTGTAGAATAAGCATGGGGACAGTCAACTGCAGGAAAGTTCATTGTGTAAAATTACATTTTGAGCAGGGCCTGCATTAGCACTAATTCTTTTGCATTAGCACTAATTCTTTCCAGTGCTGTCATCCCCACTGCTTTGTATTACTTCTTTATGAATAATACGAATTCTAGTCGTTAATATATTCCCCCAGGGAATTGTTAAAATTAAAAGAATTAAAATCTGTGGCTCACATTCTATTTCTGTTGGACAGCACTGCTTCTGACAATATATTTAAAGTGAATTGCTGCAGCACATGCGTTGTATTACCACTGATGAGAGTAATTTATTCAAAACCTATCATTGTCTGGGCAAATAGTACCTTCCCTTTGAAAAGTCAAAGAAGTTTGGAAATAATCTTCTGATTCCTGAAGCCTAATGTTATTACATAGGCTTTGGAAAGGCAGATTTTATTTAGAGCAATTAAGGGTATGATTATAATTCATTACCTTCACTAACAAGTATTAAAATATAAGAGGCACTATAAACTCCGCACAAACCCCACAGCACCACCTGTGTCCCTGTGTCTTTCTCCCCTTTGAGCAGCAGTTACGGGAATCAGACTAATTTCATTGTAAGAAGATTAGCAAAATAAAATGCTTGTTCTTATTTTTAATTTGGTGATTAGGACAGTAATTTCAGCACTTACTAATTAAAAGCATATTACCAATAAAAAATTGGTTCTAGAAATCATACCCATGATATAATATTTTAGGAATATTAAGAAACCTCTTATACAACAGAACTTACCTCTTTTGGGAAAGTCTTAGGTTATCTGTAGTCCAGTGTAGTAGTCTTGAACATAATTAATTAGAACTTACTGAGATAAAATCTGGTCAGTGCAAACCCGCTTATGACAGAGAATATCATTAATAACCCTGATTCATGACTGGCACTCTCTGATCCATCCATACCTATCCCAACCAAAGGCAATTCATTGATATTACTCTCCTCTACCATCTAATGGAGAAACTGAAAGGTCATAAATGCACCTAATACATGTGTTCATTATGTCTTCCTCAAATGATTTAAAATGTAGCAGCAGTAAAGGAATTTGAAGTTAACAAAATGCCTGATGAAGATTTTTAAAATACATTTTTAATATAGTTAATGGCTTAAGATATTTGAAAGGATATGTTCTAATAAGTTGCATTGCTGTGTTTGTTTTCAGTTTCAGAATGGAGGAGTTTTAAATGAAACCTCTCCAGCTCAATTACCTAGCATAAATAACACTCAGACGGCCACTCACCTTCACCCGTCAGAGGCCAGGCCTTTCCCTGATTGGACGTCCAGTGGATTCCTGTAATTTCACATTGGTTTTTGATTCATTTAGCATGTCAAACATCAGAGTGATGAAACGGCCAGCTTTGGACATCAGCGAGTTCACGCGGAAGCCCTGAAGTATGTTCTCCCTGTTATGCCAAACCAAATTTTAATGTTTTTATAAAAGGAGTTAAATATCAAAATTACGTATACTACCGTCATTAAAACAGAAAGGATGCTGCCACGAAGGAGTGAAATACCGTCTGTATTGTACATTATTCTGAAGTAAGACCATAGAACACAGGACACTTTTAAATAAGAAAATTCTCTCTGTTGGGATTATTTCTGTTGAATAAAAATGAAATGCTTTTGAGTTTTGAACTTCTAGATTCTTAGTAGTATACCAAATATGAACTATTTCCTTTTATTTTTAGCTTCTGCTTTTACCTCAGATGTTAAAATGAGTGGTTTGGTGCTTTTATAAAAAGCTAATTTCAGTGCTCCCCTCCTTCCTTGTTAATGCAAGTGCCTCACAGTTTTTTCTACCTATAACACTGTAGGAGTATATTTTATATAAAACATACTTTCTTTTAAAAATTAATAACATTCTGCACACAAATATTATTGGTATTTCTTAAATTCAGTCATGTTTTAAATTAATCTAGGCATGTTTTAACTGCACTACTCACCCACTTTCTTCAGGTAAAGGGCAAATAATGATTGAAAAGATTCTTTATTACATAATCTAGTTGCTTCTAGACTTTACTGTTGCCATGTGCCTTACGTTGAAATACTTCAAAAATGAACTATCTTTCCAAATTATTTTTTAATTATTATATAAGTGTTAAGACAGCAGAACTAAAATTTCAACAGTTTTCAGAAGAGATAGACCACCATTTATCTTTACTAAAATCTCCACCATGATAGTTGAATGTTACAGTGTAGAAAATCTGCTGTTAAATGCAACCTTGTTATTAACTTAAAATGAAGAGAAGCAGCTTTATTTTTAGCTCTTTAAATAAAGCACCCATTTCAATGTGTATAAATTCTTTAAAACCTGTTTTAGATCTATAATCCTTTAAGATGTAGTACGCTGACTTTATAAATTTCACTTCTTAGTACAGTGGAAACTCTTTTTCTCATATTTGAGGAGTGTTAAGATTGAATATAGCAATGTTTGGTGCAAAGTATTGGTATGAGTGGAAGAATACATGTAGTTTATAATGAACAAAACAATCTGTAAAATATTTTCAATCTTTCCTTTAAAACTAGTGCATACCTTATATACGCACACGAATAATTGGGTCATAACATAATCAGTGTGTCCTTTTAAGAAAGCAAATAATGAATCCAACTGCGTTTAAAAGGTGGTATTAAGAAAAAGACAACCATGAGTTTCTCTTAACTTCAAATATTAGGTTGTCTACTTGATATAATGACCTTTATTATCAGTGAGGCAAATTAATCACCCTACTAACTTTACCATCCTCAGGTGACTTGTAAGTGCCACCATCTGCCTTTCTTTTACTTAAATATGACATCTGAAGGGCACAGAGACATTTTGCATGTATTATATAAAAACATGGAATTCCAAACTGCAATGTATTATTAAAATATACCATTTTCTTTTTTTTAGTAAGTTAATGTATATAAAAGTGGCTTCAGACAAAATATGTCAGCTCTATGCTTCCATAGGTTCAAAATTTTGACTGAAAATGCAGTTTAAGTGTTGAAAAAACAAATTTGTCTAAAACATTTCATAATTTGTTTCCAGCATGCAGTATCACTAAAAATTTAGATCAGTGGTCTAGATTAATAGTCCATTTTTATATTTAAGCCATTAAAAGTCTTCCTAATAAACCATTTTTGTTAGTTTCTTCCACATGTAATTGGATGACTTGTTTAGTGGAAAAATAGTCGTTTTGAATTGTGAATATGGTGACAATTATACACTTATAAAATTTAAAAATTTTAAAGCAATATTGTATATTTTTATCTATATAAAGTAACTAAAATTTATCTAAGAATAAAATCACATTAAACCAAATACACCTTTGTCTGTATTGCTAAGTGCCAAACAAAAAAAGAATGCTTTGTGTACTGCTATATTGAGGGATTTGTTTTTAGATGATGTGCACTTTTAAGGACGTGGATGTGTCCCTATGCCAGGTTGTTCTTACCTGAAGACTTACCAGTGTTCCAATGTATTATGTGGCTTTCAATCATTACTATGCACAGACTGGTGTTTTTCAGTATTACTACATTTTAGGTAAATGTTCTCATGGATGTTCTGTCCTTCAAGATGTTACTGCTTACATATGCCACGCATACATTTTTGTTTAAAATATGATTTATAATATCCTTACTTATCAAACAAAATTGTATACAATAATATATGTGGTAATAAAATAATCACCAAGTATGAATAATACGTTTTAATGCAAATTCTTCTTTCTGGTCCAAATAGAGTATTTTTGGTATAGTATTATAATTATGTTAAATGAAGGCAGTCACAATATTTAAGGGTAGGTTAAGCCAGTAGTTCATAAACTTCTTACAGTGTTCTGCCCCTGGATATTTTGGCCTTTACGTGAATATAAAAAATAGACTTCAAGTAACTTCCTAGATTAAAGTGCTTCTGAAGTGGACTGTTGTTTTAAACCTTGTATTATCAGTGTTATAGATGTAGTGGCGTGGTTAAAATCCAAAATCCATTTTAATAGATAACATTTTAAGAATATTTATGAAAAAAAATTTAAAATAACCAATGTTGTATTTCATGTTTAGACTAGAAAAGTTATTGCCCTGACTTACGTCTCTAACAAATATAAATGACATATGAAGCCGTTGGTGTTCAATTCATAAGTATCAAACACTCACCAGGAATTGTGCAGTTAGAATTATTTGAAGAAAAATTCCTGACAAAGTTTTCATTCTGGTAGTGATGTTTTACATTAATTTTACATTTATTCTTAATAATCACTAGATAGCTTTCTCAACAACTCAATAGAAACATAGCAAGTCAGCATCATACTTAGTCTTTAATTATTTGATCTGAAAGAGTCAAGTAAAAATCCAGATAATCATTATTTCTGATCTCTGCTTTCAGTCAAATGACTTCCATCAGCATAAATGATGTCAACTTGCCACCTTGTCACCAAGCCTGTCAAACACTGACCCAGGGATGTTAGCTGCTCACAAGACTGGGGAGTCTCTGTTGTTTTCCCCAGTGTCCACAGATGACCAGGCTTCTAGCTCTAATACAGTCAGGCCATCAAAACCCCATAGTGTGTCCTAAGTGTCTGTACCTTTACCTCCACACACCACTATCCTGTCTCTCAGGCCAGCCTCCAGTGTGAGAAAGGGAAGTCCCCCTGCCTCCGAGATTAACACCTTTCCTTTCCAGTCCTCACACACTCAGCTTCTGCTTCCCTTTTCCAGAGTCTCTTCTCTCCTATAGGCGTCCCTGTATACAGGTCATCCTCTATCCCGGAAAGAAATTACTTTTCTCACTGAATTATTTACTTGCCTCCTTTCTCCAAAATATTTTTCATCTCCTGAAACCTTTTGTTTTCCTCCCTTCTATTACACTGCTTTGTTGAAGTTCACTTAACACCCTTTCTAGCTGATTCTCCCTGACCCTGCACCCGAACCAACTGCACCCTCAGCGAACTTCTTCCTTCTGTTAGCTTCCGTGATTCGAGCTGTCCCGCATCCTAGGATCCCTTCTCTTTCCTTTGTGAGCTACTCTCCCGCCTCCCACCTGGCAGCAGGCTTACTTCTGAGCACCATGTGTGGTTCTTTCTCTACATGCTGTCCCTTTGGAAGCTTCTTCATTCTGCAGCTGTTCCTCTTATGATGAATCCCCTTGAAATCTGCTCTCTCACCTCGGCAAAGGGGTGATAGAACGACACCTTCTCTGACTGACATTTGTGGAGCCTCCTTTCCCTGTAAGAGCAGCACAGCAAAGCTGTGCGCACAGACCCTGGAGTCAGGCTGCTGGTTTCAACACACACACGATGCGGATCGTTGGGGAGGTTTCCTACTTTCTCTGAGCTTGGGTTTCTGTTTCTACAAAATCAGAGTAATAGTCATACCTGCCTCACTGAAGTGTTGGAGGAGTCAATAGTTCACGTAAAAGCAGTTCCCAGCGGCCAAACTGGAACAACTGAACAACAAAATAATAGCATCAGATTACAACCCAAAGAAAAAAACATCCATGAGTCCATCCTGGTACACCTAAGTGATTGAATAAATAAATAAATGGGAAAGAAGGGTCCCGTATGTATATGGAACTTAATACTCCTCTCCTTGAGTGTGGGTTAAACTCAGCCACTTGCTTCCAAAGAAGAGTACAGAAAGAGAAGAAACTACATCAAAGAAATCTGGCAAGCACTGCTCTAACCAGGTGATCCAGCTTGACATCAGTGCTAAGTCACGGTGTTCCCCCTGCTGTGGTGCTACGCCGAGCACCCTTCAGCTCTGTGGGATTCTCAGAAACAGAACCCCAGTCAAGTCGTGAGAAAATGACCAAGAAATGCAAACAGAGAGATTCCACAAGACTCCTGGGAGTATTTAAAGTGTTAAACATCAAGAGGAACAGACTGAGACACTGTCACAGATCAAGGAAGACAAAAGGCATGACAACCAAATGCAAAATACGATACTCTGTCTCTGACTGCGCTCTGCAGTAGAAAAGGGGCCTTGTGTACTGCAGTGGTCTGTATAAAGTTTCGTTAATAGTATTGTACAATGTGGCTTCCTAGTTTTACCCGTGTAATACACTCCATTCAGATAAAGCTGGACATCCTAATGCATGTGTAATATTTATAAATTCATCCTCAATTTCCTCATCATGCTGTATCTTCAAAAATTTTTAAACGACCTATCTGTTGACATTTTAGGATACTGAAATCTAATTTCGGGACTCTGGCATAGAGATTTAGAACCAAGACTGAAATCTGAACGAGGGTAACGTGAATTCTGATGAAATGAACGTCTATTTTCAAGAGTGTCCATTTCCATTGTTTTTAAAGACACTTCCTTTCCTCCTCATTGAATCAACTGACATGTAGAAAATCCAGACCAGTTTTCTTTGAATATTGAGCGATTCATTGCACTTTTAGAAAATTTTTCCTTATTGTCAACAACTGAATGGTCTGAGATTCTACTCTACATTCAAGCTACCAGGTTAGCCAGGCGCAGTTCCGTGGATACTGGCAGAGACATACAACTCTGGGCTCAGAGGCAAAGGGCAGTTTGTTACAGTAACAGCAGCCAGAGCATCAGCACTGTGTTGGTTCTCCACAAGGCAAGGCAACATCTTCACATGCAGTTAGGAAAAGGAAAGGAAAGGAACCCTGAACTTAGGAACGCAAATCTTTCTTGATGGCGGTACCCACTCCTGACCCTTTGCTCTGAAGGGAGGCACTCTCACTACCTTCTAAGGCTGGGCTCTTCGCTGCACAAACATCCTTGAAAAGATTGTCCAAAACAAAAGAGGCAGTCGCTGCCTCTGCCTGCAACACGTGTAGAGACACAAGTGACCCTCGGAGAACAGTCTCCAGCACTTACCCTGATGGGTTCTGCTTGCCCTTTTAAGTAAAATTTTCATCCTTCCTCTTTTGACAGCCTCCCTGCTCTGACCAGAGACAACTGTTACTTGACCGGGGGAACAGGACAAACCTTTTCTGGCCTCAAGTTACAGGATCCTGACTCTCCATGGAAATAGCTCTGAAACCCTGACTTTATGTCTCTGCTCCAAGTCAAGTCTACCTTGTAAAAGGCGATACACCACGATGTTTAAGATTCAGGGGCAGGTACATGGTTTGAACGCTGGCTCTGTTCCTTTGCCAGGTGTGTGAGATGAAGGGCTTAACCTTTCTGTGCCCTTGTTCTCTCCTCTGTAAAAGAAGACGACCCCACCTCATAGGCTCTTTATGAGAACCAAGTGAGATAATACACCCAAAGCACTCAGCAGTCACCGACACGTGCTGGAAAGTGTTAAAGAACTCTTAGCGCTGATTGTCCTGGGGTCTGTATTAGGGTAAAGGCCAACCCGGTGTAATAGAGACCAATCAATGCATTGTTTCAAAAATAGACTTCTGTCTCATGTAAGTGGACTCTGCTCCACGGCGCCACCCAGGCTGGTGGGACAACTCTTCCATCTTCAATATGCTCCAGCCAATGCCTTTGCCACCAGGAGAAAGGGAAGGAAAGGACTTGTCCAGGCCAAGGGTCTTTTAGAGCCTAAGTCAGAAGTTGTACATATCACTTCTGTCCACCTTCTCTACCCTTGAATTTAGTCACATGCTCACAGCTGGCTGCAACCATCTGCCCAGCAACAATTCTGTTTCTATGGAAAAAAGAAGAAACAGATTTTGGCGAACAACTTAAAGGACCCAAGGAAAAATAAAGAGCACCTTTTTGTCCATTTGAATTTTGAAGCTACTGAGAATGTGTGAGTGTGTGTAGAGGCTGTCACCAACCCAGCCTTTCTACCATGAGGACAATAAGGAGTAAGGCAAGAGGTTAGAAGCCCTCATCCGTTTTCACGGAAACCTGAGCAACAGGAGAAAGATTTTTCTGTCCAAAACATGACTACCATCACCATCATTACTATTATAAGGTAACCTCATTGGTCAAAACGTCTGTTAAGGGCCTTTTCCATTGTCAGTTATTTTCTTCAATGCCCATGCGATGCAGAACTAAGTCAGAGTTTAGACTCAGAAACAAAGATTTGCCTCTTCAGGCCAAGTGCGGAATAAACTAATTCATTCACCTCTTTGTGCTGCCAGGAAGCACAGAATTCAGTTTTGTACTCAGTGTGACAGCTTCCCTCCGCCTTTATTTCAGGCAAAGTTGTTTGTGCTTCTGCTTTACTTCTCTCCCCGCTTCGTCTGTCATTTCCCTCTTGGTATCATCACTTTTTTTTTTTCAGTTTTCATGTAAGCTGTCTCAAATTGTTTTAAGGCAGGATATAAATTATCCTTATAAAGATGCAGTCAGTAAACGCAGTGATGTAGGAAAAAATGTTGAAGAGAAATATGCTATCCATAAGTGCTTTTAGATGAAATGTTAGCCAATTAAACTTGGCAGCATTTACAGGAGAGAGATTGGCTCAGCAGAGAAGTAGCCTTAAGATGAAGGGATGATGACTATGAATAATGGTTTCAATCTGCCTTTCCAGAGGCTGGGACATTTTTTTCACGATCATTCTTTTGTGACACTGCTAGCTTAAAATTATTTGTGCTATTCATTAAATTCTTTTCTCTTTGGCCCCTCTAATATTCCCAATCATAGTGTCTTATATCTTCTATTTCCTATCCTACAGATTACCTGCTTTCCTTTCTGGACCTGAGTAAACCAAAAGGGCCCAGAGTAGAAAGACTTGGGAGAGTTGATGTGTGCTTACATGCAAAACACA